ATTACAGCTACCTTAAAAGACTGTGGTACATAGCCTGTTAATAGGGATATATTGATCATATCTAATATATGAGTGTTAACTAAAGGAAAGACCTCCTTAAGTAGCCTAGTTGGGATGGGGTCTAAGAGACACGTTGATGATTTAGATGAAGAAATCACTGCGGTCAATTCTTGAAGAGAAATTGGGGAGAAGCAATCTAAATATATATTAGATTCTACAGCTGTGTTTGAGGTTAGATAGGTAGGCCTACCATCTGAGGGCAGGAGGTCATGAATTTTGCCTCTAATAGTTAGAATTTTGTCATTAAAAAAGCTCATAAAATCATTACTGCTAAGGGCTAAAGGAATACAAGGCTCAATAGAGCTTTGACTCTCAGTCAGCCTGGCTACAGTGCTGAAAAGAAACCTGGGGTTATTCTTGTTTTCTGCTATTAAAGCTGAGTAATAGTTTGCTCTGGCATTGTGGAGGCCCCTCTTATAAGGTTTGAGACTGTCTGTCCAGATTAAACGAGATTCTTCCAGTTTGGTTAATCGCCAATTCCTTTCAAACTTTCGCGATATTTGTTTTAACCTACGGGTTTGAGAGTTATACCAAAGAGCAAACTTTCTTTGCTTTGTTAACTTCTTTTTAAGAGGAGCTACAGAGTCGAGTGTTGTTCGCAGTGAGCCTATGGCGCTATCAACAAAATGATCAATTCGGGAGAGGTTAAAGTCGGTATGGGAAACCTCTGTTACTGAAGGACTTGGTATTGAATTTAACAACAGAGTAATCATTTCCTTAAATTTTGCGACAGCACTATCTGATAAACATCTAGTAAAAAGAAATCAAAAGTAATCAAATAATGATACGATAGCGAGGGATTCTGTGGAAAGACTGTTAGGTTATCAATTTCAATTCCATACATCAGAATTAGATCGAGGGTATGGTTAAAACAGTGAGTGGGTTCATGTACACCCTGACTGAAGCCAATGGAGTCTAATAATGAGATAAACGCGGTAGCCACGGAGTCATTATCAACGTCGACATGAATGTTAAAATCGCCTACAATAATAACTTTATCTGATATAACAACTAGACTGGATAAAAACTCTGAGAGTTCAGATACAAATTCAGAATACGGGCCAGGAGCACGGTACACTATAACAAATAAAAGTGGCTGCGAGGTTTTCCAGGTCGGATGTAAAAGACTAAGAACGAGGCTTTGAAATGAATTATAATCTAGTTTAGGTTTAGGGCTGATTAACACACTAGAGTTAAAAATGGCTGCAACTCCCCCTCCTAGACCACTGCCTCAAGGAATGTGGGTATTATTATGACTGGAAGGAGTGGATTCATTTAGACTAACATATTCATCTTGACACAGCCAGGTTTCAGTGAGACTGAGTAAATCAATATGATTATCTGATATTAATTTGTTTACTAACACTGCTTTAGACGATAGAGACCTGATATTTAACAGTCCACATTTAATTCTCCTGTTTTGTCTTTCTGTCACAGAAGATGTTTTAATTTTTATGAGGTTGTTATGCACAACTCCTCTTTGTTTAATTTTAGATTTAAATAATTTAGGTAGTGGGGGGACAGACACCATTTGTATAAAACTATGAAAACTATGGCTGGGTAACTGAACTAGAAGCTCAGCTTTAGCTTTATCCACACAAACGATATATCTTTGTGTTCACCAACATCTTGGGGTGCTCATGGTCAAGAGGTTTTAACAATAGAACCTAAGAATACTACCTAAGAACCTGCACCATCTTTTTCAAGCAGTCGTTCTGTGTTCCAATCAGTGTTCTATGAGAGGCCCTTTGAGATATAATTCTTACTTGGTTTCACATGTAACATCATACTCTCATACATACACCACTATACTCTTACACAAACACTACTATACACTTTTACATGCACAATCATACTCTTATACATACACCACTATACTCTTACACAAACACTATTATACTTATATTTATCATGTTTTCTTTTATTTACTGTCAGACTCTTAGTGTAACAGAGGATAATATTATATGTATGTAAGTATGATAGTATGTACATGAAAGTAACAGTATATGTAAAACAAAGTTCTAATATATGTATGAGAGAATAATATTATATTTGAAACAGAATACTAGCATTTGTAAGAGAAATTAGTTGTACATGTGAATGCAAATAATCATGTGTAAGGAACAAAATGACAGTGAATGTAAGACAGAATGATAGGGTATGTGAATGAGAATAGTTGTTTGTATGAGAGAGTTTGATTGAAACGGAAGGGAGTTTGATTGAAATGGAAACAGTACTGAATTCTCAGTTCCTGATTGGTTATTTTTGATGAAGTGAGAAAAAGGCCCGCCTTCCCAATCATAATATGAAAAGATGGCGGACCTTGAGCGACTCAGTGAAGCTGTTGGCCTCTGACTGTCCACACAGGCTGCTGAGCAGAGCGGAGCGCCCACGGAGGCTCGCACACTGCAGCGCTAAGTTTGGCGTCTGGTCTATTTTTCACACAAGCCGCGAGAGCTTCTGTCAAGCTGGATAGAGCGGATCGTACCAAACAGGAAGTCGGACACAGAAAAGACAAGAGAATCCGGCCAATTTTCAAAATAAAATAACAACAGCACGCACTGTGGAATGTGAGGAGAAAATACCATGTTTATAATTTAAAATAACACAACAATGCATAATCGAACACATTTTTCAATACCCTAATCACTTCATTACAATTTTAATTTTGTGTCACCGAGCCTACAGCCATAAATAAAATGGTCAGAACAACATGCCCTATTCATTCAGTGTGTGGACAGTCAAGGGCGCCAATTGAAAACTGCCTCCGCTGCTGGGCGCTGCGCTTCGGTTCCGCGTCTGGTGTGTCCAGGCCGTGAAGCGCTGCAGTGCGCGAGCCTCCACGGGCGCTCCGCTCTGCCCCAGTGGCCTGTGTGGACAGTCAGAGGCAAACAGCTTCACTGTCGCTCCCGGTCCGCCATTTTCTCATATTATGATTGGGAAGGCGGGCCTACTTCTCGCTTCATCAAAAATAACCAATCAGGAACTGAGAATTCAGTACTATTTCCGTTTCAATCAAACTCTCTCACACAAACAACTATTCTCATTCACATAGCCTACCCTATCATTCTGTCTTACATTCACTGTCATTTTGTTCCTTACACATGATTATTTGCATTCACATGTACAACTAATTTCTCTTACATATGCTATTATTCTGTTTCAAATATAATATTATTCTCTCATACATATATTAGAATTTGTTTAACATATACTGTTACTTTCATGTACATACTATCATACTTACATACATATAATATTATCCTCTGTTACACTAAGAGTATGACAGTAAATAAAAGAAAACATGATGATAAATATAATTGAGTATAGTAGTGTTTGTGTAAGAGTATAGTGGTGTATGTATGAGAGTATGATTGTGCATGTAAGAGGGTATAGTAGTGTTCGTGTAAGAGTATAGTGTGTGTGTGTGTGTATACACACACACACACACACGCACACAGGTGTCCCTCATTAATTACCATGGCAACCACGTGTGCATGTTTAGAAACATCCTTTATCAGGCTTCTCTGTGTTTATCAGCAGGTGATTCCGATGAGCTGATCAGACCTCCTTCAGTTTCTGCCTGTTTCTGTAATACTAGTGGTACGGGTACTACTGCTCTGACACACCAACACATAGAGATATAATATATATATTTTAATATTATCACTGCTACTGCTATGACGCCTATAACCATGACCTCTATTGTTATTACTATGACTGCCTTTACTACTTCTGCTACTACTACTACTACTAGTAACCCTGTAGTTTTTGTAATTAATTACTACTTCTGCATACTTTCAGCTACAAAAACCATTCAAATGTCAAAGTGTTCAGTTCTTTAAGTACGTTTATGCTTCTACTTTTTATACTTTTTAACATATGAATTACTGCTACTACTGGTCTTACTACTACTATTAGTAGTGCGGCTTCTACAGCTACTTCTACTCCTGTGGTTACTACTACTACTACTACTTCTCCTGTGCATATTTTGATTACTTAGGCCTACTGCTTCTACATACTTGCAGCTGCAGAAGATGCTCAAATGTCAAAACATTTAGCTTGTAAAGGATTTTCAGAAGTTTCTGGTTTCTCTTTTTGATGTTTCTACATTTCCAGCATTTCAGCATTTTCTTTCATTTCAGCATTCAGCATCCACACGCATTTTCTGCAGGAAATGCTCTTTCTAGTTTATACCAGTGGTTACTGACCATGCAGTTATGAAGTTTGAAAATATTTCTATTATCAACCTCTAGGGCACATTTCCTCTGATTCTAATCATGTCACAGGCATGTAAAAGCTCCCATAAGATTTATACACTGAACAGAACAGTAGGTGGGTTTTACTGCATGTTTTACAGACTGTGGATTGCAGTAGCGCATGAATGGTTTTCCCATCTGTGATCAGCCATTTAAAAAGAGAATCTTAATAATTAAAACATAATGAATAGCTGTAGTCAGGAAAGCAGTGGCTGGAGCATGTAAGATTTTCAATCGAATCCTGCAGAGCTGTTTATGCTGGCCCAGAGACGCCAGAAAGCGTGTATGTGTTTATTCATTTTTGTTTAGGATAAACATGTCTCAATTATATTGTATCACACACACACACATACACACACACACACACTGACACGCCTAGAGACACATGAAATATAATCACACAAAACCTCTATGGTAGGCTGCCATTTATTATCTCTGTCACAGACTTCCTGAGAAGCAATAGACTAAACAAATGACTTGTTGGAGTCCGACGTGTGACAGAAAAAAAGCTGTGAGTGATAAAGACGGAGAACGGGGGAGGGGTTGGGGCTGTCAACGTGACATCGTTACGCTTATTAACCCCCCCCCCCCCCCCCCCCCCCCCCCCCCCCCCCCCCCCCCCCCCCCCATTATCCCCGGTGACGTAAGCCACAAAAAGTACTTTAGCAAACCGCGAGCCAGCATCCGCAGCGCTTCATCGAGCACTTTGAACGGACTCAGCAAGAGTTTAAGGGGCGTTGTTTTTCTCGACCTTTTGACGCACTGACCGTCTATGTAGCGGACTACACTTGTGCCACGGAAAACCGGTGTCAGCGCGCGGACAGTGAGGGAAGAGAGAACAAGCTCTGTGTCTGTCTGTTTGCTGATTGGCTGAACCGTGACCGCTCTGCCCACCGTGTACAACACAGGGAGCTGTGCGCACATATATTGGGTGCACACGTTCGTGCCCCTTAACAGTTTACCATTCTGCCGGTACCCCAGAGGGCACGCGCGGCCGAGGAAAGCATAGAACAGCTCGAGTATTATTTCAGACAACAGAGGTAAGGCTCCGTGATGACAGGAAACTGCTACTTTTACTCCAATTATTAATAAGTAAGTAATAAGTACTACTACTGCTACATTTGTTACAGTTACTATCACAATTACTACAACTGATGTTTCTGAGACTCATAGTCATGCCCTCACATCACCCACAGCATCCAGCATAGGCAGATAGACTTTATGCTGTCCATACATACATACCTGTGTTAATGATTGATTTCACGTAATAACAGGTTGCTAACAGCGGCAGAAGCAGACTTAGTAGTGATAGTAGTGGCAACAGTAAGTTGAAATTACTAAATGGCTCTGTTACTTCATTTTGGAAAATGACGTTAACAGTCTGACAAAGGTTGAACTTTTTGTAATGTTTGTGTTTTTGTCTTTGTGTGTCAACAGTCTATGGCTGCCTCCGCACACTGCAGCTGCGTGTGGATGTTGGTGTTGGGTGCTTGTGTGTCGCTGGTGGTTGGAACTGAATGCGGGAAGGAGTGCGCACTGTGCGTGTACCGTCTGCTGGGACAGCAATCCAGTTTCACCTCCCTGGTAATGTCACTGTATTTCAGTATTACTATGAAATGATTAACATTTCCAACACAGAGACAACGTATATAATTGATAAGGTGAAATCAGCAAGGTTACAGAGACAGTGTGGTGTCTTCCTCTGGCCACTTCGATCATCAGTCAATTACAGAATTAAACTAAGGCAGTGTGAGGAACAGGCACAGCAGTCTGGTTTCTCCTCCTCATTTTATCAGCTATAATATATCCAGGGACCAACTAATAATGGTACTGGGCTGCTCCTTATTGAAGTCTATTATTATAATATATTAAGTAAAACACACAGTCTTTCATTACGGCGCCTCTCCTCTTTTCACACTCTCATCTCTGTGTCTTCAATTATTAGATAACTTATGACAATAGACTACTGTCTCAAAGACTTAAGAATATACTATTTTAGTCCCTTCTCCATGTTTCCCTCTGTCTGCATTCAATTCCTTCTCTCCCCTTCCTCACCCATCATCCTTTCCCATTTGATCCTTCCCCTCCTCCCTCAGCCCATATGTGGCTGGAATGATGGTAGGCTTCAAGCCAGTATGTAAAACTTCAAGGTTTTTTTTTTCCCTTTCCTTTCCTCTTACTTCTTTATTCTCTTTACTTCCCATGCCCCCTTCTCTATTTTATCTGTTTTATGTACATTTAAGTGTTCTCTCAAATCTGAAATAATTTAGATGTTGTGTCAAATGCGAATCATCAGTGTGAATCATATACATTTACATTCTGTAAATTTCATGACTTTATTTCTATATTTCACATATGATGTCTGACTGGGTTAATGCTCACCTTTGTACCTCTGCAATATCAACATCTTTGCTTAATTGATACATGTAATTGTCTTAAATGACATTGATGTAAGTGTCCAATGACAAAAACTAGACATATAGAGAAGTCATATTTGTATAATCTTCAACAATGGAGAGGGCCTCCATCCTTTAAAAAATAATGAAGATTTTGGAAATGCCTTGAAATTCTCTGACCCACAGAATATGGATTTAGTTTGAATTCTTTACACTTTGCACAAATGTTTCAGAGAGAAACCTGTGACTGCCGGAAGGAGGGAAAAGACAGATTGAAATCCAAATAATGTTCAATCTTGGAATCAGCCCATATTTGGTTTTTACTGTCCCTTTTCCTTCTTTTCACCATCATTGCTTTTTGTATACTTCCCATTATGGCCTCCAGAGGGTGCTGATACCCAACACCCTCTCAGCCCCTAAAGTGCCAGTATGTCCTCAATTCAATTTTCCTGTTCATTAATTCTGTCTTCATCAGCCAGCGGCACTGAAAGCTCAGCAAGAATCCCTCCTCCCTGCCATCAAATAAGTGAAATCCAATGACACATATAAGATTTGGAGCAAGTTATCCTGGCAACATGCAGCCCCCAGGGCCCAGCGCATGCCTTTAGTCTGATTGTATTCCTGCCACCGGGGTTATATGGACTCACATAGTTAAAGGATGACTGGGATGAGTGGGTGGGGCTATGCGGGACACAACGGGGAGGCTACCATTAGACGAAGAGGATGCTGTGTCACTGGGTGAGGAACAGGCTGGGACAGATGGTTTCAACAGAGAAACTGTCTTTTCTAAGCTGTTGAGAGTAAATGAGGGATGTCATCGATAAAACAGGCTGTTGTGTTCTCCCAAAGAATCTGTTAACGATTGTAATTTCTCCCTTGTTCACTGTTTCTCTCTTTTGTGAGCACAATCTGGAGTGCAACGCACACAATATAGATGACAGAGCTTTTCCATGTGTTTCTCGCTCCATTTAAATTTCAGTAACTATTCATCAAGCACTACTGTCAAGCTTAAAGCAATTTACAATTACAGTGGGAAAATGAAGAGTGATGGATGGAATTAGCCACATAGAATACATGATTAAAAATTAATAAATTGATGGAATTTGAATTTCTTCTCGATTTGAATGCTAATGTCACAGACAACTCTCCTACCATGATAAATCTGAACAAATCCAGAGTTGACAAGTATTTCATTTTGCCGTGATTCACTTCAAGGGCTGATGGGAGAATCATTCTCAAAATTAATTATAATGAATTTTATACAGCCTAAAATGCATTTCATTCTCATGTTCTCAGGTTATTAATGTCTCAAGTGAAACATTTGTAAAGAGGCATTTCATAGTGAGCGCATCACAGTCTCCTAAAACCAAAGAAGTCATCTTTAAATAGCTTTTCTTTCTTGCTAGAACCTGAATTTAGTTTATATTTATTATATTTATAATTAAACGCTACAGGATGATCAGTTTCCCGTTTAATGCATCAAAGCTTTAACATTCCTGAATAATTTCTTAAAGGAACATGGAAATATGCTTTTTTGATTTCTTTGCAAGAGTGAGATGAGAAGATCAATGTCAGTCTCATATGCCTTAAAGGTATATTCCAGAACTTAGTGTTGTACTTCCATAAAACTGGGGCACTTCTAAAAGGGAGATTTCAAAGAGGATAGTATATGAAGCAGCACAGGCCTGACTTTTAGTCCCTAATATGGGTCAAGATTCAAAAACCGGGTCCTTCATTTCTCATAAGGGAACTCAGTGATGTCTCTTCATCAGACTCTTTTTGCTTAGTAAATGTCCTCAATAAAACTCCACACTTTTTCCAAACAGCCAACTGTATACAGCTTTCTGGAGTTGTCACTGGGGTAATAAGAAATACTCAACATGTAGTGCCTCCTAAAACAGCAAAATTAGACACATTTACCCTACATGTTCAAATTAATATTTAACACTGAATATTTAATACTGAACTGACTGTACTGAATCATCATAGCCACTGACATAATCAGTAGTTTTTTAAAAGGTGAGCTCCCCTCACTGGTGACTGAGAGCCTTGTTGTCAGCTTAGCCAAAATGTTTAGTTCTATTATGTTACTTAATGAATGACTTTGAAATCCACAGAAAAAGTCATAATGCAGTAGATCCGTTGCAATGATTATTTAGCTATAAACCTGTTACGCAATTCTTATACAGGCTGACTGTTGTACTAAAAGTTTGAACCAGCAACAGAAAAATAAAAACAAATCTTAAAGTCTTAAGTGTTCTCATCTTTAAATTAAACTGAACAAAATCCTTTAAAGTGATTGTTGATGTCCATCTACATACAAAATATGTCCTGACTCCAGCTCTGTATGCAACTCACACAGACAGGGTTGACATTTATCATCTCATCTCATCTCATTCTCAGAGAGAACACAAATAAATGTGTTTTCTGAAATCTCTGTGGAGCCATTTACATACCTACATAATGTAGAAAATGAAAAAATTCCTTCCCTGATTAAACCTTAGTTATTCAGGTACTGATATTTCAATAGAAGCATGACAGCATGCTGTGCCTGGCAAACACTGTGTTGATAAGATTAACTATGAAATGTCATAATTATCAGTTAAATTTTTCCAGACATGCTCACTCGAGTGCGAGGGCGGGTTGGACAGCCAGCAGCTCCGCCTGTGCCGGGACTTCCTATTGGAGGAGGAAAACCACATTCTTATAAATACTGACCCCCGTCAACAGCAGGAACAGGAAGCAGCAGGCACCGTGACAGCTGACGATGAGGATGCAATATCACCGGAGCACCAGCTGGCCAAGAAGTATGGCGGTTTCATGAAGCGCTATGGTGGTTTCATGTCTCGCCGTTCATCCTCTCCAGAGGCGGTACTAGAGGATCCTGGAAACCAGGATGAGGAAGAAAATGTTCGCCTGGAGGTCCTAAAGATTCTCAATGCTGCGACTGAGCACAGTGATGAGGGTAATGGTCAGAGAGGTGAGGCAGTTAAGAGGTACGGAGGTTTCATGCGTCGGGCTGAAGGAGGGGTGGCACAAGGCGACATGCTGGAGGCAGTGTTAGGCCGTGGGCTCAAGAAGCGCTATGGAGGGTTCATGAGGCGTGTGGGCAGGCCTGAGTGGCTGGTGGACAGCAGCAAGAGTGGGGGGATGTTGAAACGGGCCTGGGAGAATGGCAGCGAGTTACAGAAGAGGTATGGGGGGTTCATGGACTAGGAAGCCACAGCTATGACCCCTCACAACCCCCATCCAACCCAACCCCTCCCTTCAACCAGTCACCTTGTAATCTGGACTTGTTGGCCTGCCCCCTCAGCTTTGTATAATGTGCTGCTGCTGACTTCATTGATTCAGTTGCTTCTGTAATGATTAAAAAGATAAACATGAATCATTCAGATGTACACAATTTATCTGGTCTGTTTTTGGTTTTCCTTATGATACTATTTATTAAAAGAATGTGTTGATTGAGGTGTGTTGGTCGAGGGTATGATTTTTTTTTTAAAAAGTACCATGTTCAAGTGTGTGTGTGTGTGTGTGTGTGTGTGTGTGTGTGTGAAGAAGAAGAAGCAGAAGAAGAGGGAGCCACAGTTAGGTCAGGGGCTCTCTTTTAACATTAAAATAGGCAGATATTTGCTGTATAAGTGTATCAGCACAGCATATAACATAAAATGTGTTGCTTTCGTGCTTTCCATGAAACTGCTACTCTAACAAAAGCATGAGAGATGTTAGGCAAATACAGCAAATTGTGCTGACAATTCATTGTAGAATGAATTGGACATGATTCTTAATGATAGATCATGTTGTATATCCATCTATACTGAGGCACACATACATCGATCAGCCAAAACATTTAAACTACTGACAGTTTAAGTGAATAACATTGATCAGCTTGTAACAATGCAATGTTCTGTTGGGAAACCTTGGGTTCTGATGTTCATGTGGTTGCCACCTGACATGCTCCACCCACCTGAACACCAGTGCAGAACAGGCACCCCCCCTTATAGCAGTGACATGCCCCAGTAGCATCATCTTCCAACCACTTAAAAAACGCTTTAACACGACAAGTCACATTCACACATTCACACACTGAGTCACAACCACCCCTGATGATTAGGGTATTATGTTTGTTGCTTGACGTCCAATAGTGGACACTGCTTAAAGAGATTTTAGAAAGTTATTCAAACTGAGACCATAAAAGTGGAAATGACAAAAATAGGAGTCTGAAACGAACGGCCACTGTGCAACACAGAATGATACGGATTCTCCATTCTGTTTTGCAGCAACAACTGCTGCTGCTGTCAAAATTAGCTCTAATGCATTTTGTATGTTAGTATGTGTTTATGCATATACGTACGTGTTTACTAAAACTCACAATGCTGAAAGGATGAGGAAGAATTTTAACATGTCTAAGCTCTGCATGTGTATACCAATCTTACTTAGAGAGCATGACATAGTTTTGTCAACAATTAGTTAATTCAAACTGTCAGCTGTACCCACTGAGCCGCCATGATCCTGGTTTCTGCCAGGTAAAAGATTAACAGTTAAAAATAAGGAAATATCTTAAAACAAATGAGATACAGCTGCACTTACTAATCCAATCAACCATGGGAGGTTAAATGAGGTTTTGATGAGCAGGTAGTCAAATGATGGCCTATACAACTGAGATATGCATAATCTCCCACTCTCTCTCCATCAATTTCTTATCAAAACATCAAAGATTAACATTGCACATGAAAAATTAATATATTAGCTAGCTAACTTATTTTCACCCACAGCATGTGCAACTTACTTCAGTATAGGGATTCCCCCAAAAAAGTTGTTAAGCCAAGTGGCAAGTATCTTTTGATGGGGCATGCAGTACTTACAGCAGTGTAGTTGTAACAAATGTAGTGAACAATGTAGTGAAGTAAAAGGTAAAAAAAAAAAGAAAAGTGAATTACTGGCTCAAAAATATACTGAAGTAAAGAGTAAAAATAATGTTTAAAAAAAGGAACCCAAAAGGTACTTGTTCCTTAAAAAAATCTACTTCTTTACTTGTGTGTTATTTGTAACAAGTTCCTATCTGCCCCTGAAAATACCACTGAAAACAGTGGGAATTAGTAGCAGAAAAGTTGTAGTAGTAGTGATAGTACTGGTAGCTAAAGTAGTAGTTCTAATAGAAGTAGTAGTAATATTCGTAGAAATCGCAGCAGATGAGAATCGCACAGGTGACCATTGGTTCCCTAACATACTCAGTGAACTTACAATGTAAATTTAAAAATAAAAAAAAAAAAGCCATATATTTTAAAAACATTTAAATGCTGGACTAAAGCTGAATACAAGCACACATGTCTTTGAAGAGCTGAACATTTTGATATTTGAATGGTTTCTGTTTATCAAATCATGCAGGGGAGAAGATGACTGCAACTTATAATGAACTTATAATGAAAGAGCAAAGACTGCAACAGTGTCTCACACTAACTAGTATAAAATGGAAATACTTAAGTAAATTACAAGTACCTCAGAACTGTACTTAGAAAATGTACTTCATTACATTCCACCACAGTTAATAAAAATACATTCAATTGTGTTTCCAATTCTTGTCAAAAAATGTTAAAGGATAGCAGTAATGAAGTATTCTTTTTTTAAATCAATACCAATAATTATTTTTAAAAAAACTACTTTTATTAACTACTTATATTTATAACATTTCAAGTCCCAATTAATTTGGAAAATAAACAACAGTTTTTGAGGTGTTTTTCAGTAATTATAACATGTACTTTGAATGAATGAAAATTAAGAGTCCAGAGTGCATAAAAAACATTGAAACAAAGTTTGTTTATTTAAAAAAGATATCCCTGGAGAGGTTCCCCCAGACCCCCCTACAGAGGTCTGGGCTAAGCCCAGAATGTCCTCAAACCCTAGAAACGGCCCTGGGATACATCAACACCATCATGTCCCAGAGCTATCTCTCAGAAACCGTGCGCATTCCTTTCAAGACAATGTTCAGGAATTAGATTAAAATGCATGCAGAAAGAAAAATAATGCATACAAGAGGGACAATAAAGAGCTCTACAGATCCACCATTTCAGAATTTCGGGGGGAATTTTGGAAAACTAAGGCCCACTACAAAGACAAGCTGGAAAGCAAACTCCAGGACAGGGACAGCAGAGGTGTATGGCAGGGTCTGCAAACTGTAATGATAACCCCAGGCTCCATGATGAACTTCATGAATTCTACTTATGTTTTCATAATATCTCATCCTGTCGACAAGAGTCTGGCTACTGTGGAAGTCCCCCTGGGTCCCCCATTTGTGATTGAGGGCAGGTGTCTGCTGTGTAATCAGTAAAGCAGCAAAGCTGCAGGCCCTGATCTTGTGTCCTCAGTACTTAAAATGGACAGACTTCTGTCCTGACTGGTGTTTTTAATTACTATATCAACCAGTGTAAAGTACCAGCCAAGCGGCAACCTCCAGGGCTGACGAGTGAAGCCAGTGTGGAAGTGCCAAAAAGTGCAATTCATTGACTGGCCACTTGAGGCTGGCTCCAAAACAGAGCAAATGCCCATAGACTCCCATGTTAAAATGCCTAACTTTACAGCTAAAATAACCATGTTTACAGCCTGGTATAAATATTTTTTTTAATAACAATCACGTTTGAATGTTATTAAGGCTTAAATTTCTGCATAAGTAAGGGCATGGCCACTTTGACTGGCGGGCTGTCAGCTGGGCCTCACTGCAAGCCACTCAACTTGACCTCCTTGCCATGTTTTGGGGTGCTGGAGCCAGCTGGTTGGAGATTTGTTTTTTTGTACAAATATCAGACAAATAATATGGCTTGCTGTGCAGATAATTGTACCAACTGACCGTCCAAGACACCAGTGCTCCAGTTTTTTGGTAAGTGACATTTTATTATCATTTTATTTTAATTTAATGCTATTTAGCAGGTATCGTTTTTTTTGTCTGGCTTGTTAGCTTAGCTCGTTATCTCATTATGTAGCTGCTGACCAGCAAGACCCGAAGTCAAAAGGTAATACTGAAGTCTGTTTACAAACCTTGTCAATCGTCCCCGCATTGGCAGCTGCCTTCCACCTGCATCTCTAGGTGGTGCCAGAGAAGATGATCATCATGTGTGGATGCTACACATGGAGGTGGTGCAGGTCCCCCTCCTCTGCTGTGATGAAGCTGACACTTGAGATATCTCCCAGGTCATTCCCATCACAGTGGATGAGGATGATAATTCAGAACTGCTCTGGCTCGTAGAGACTGGATGAAGAAGGGGAGAAGGCTCTTTCACCTTAGAACACTCAGCCGAATCAGTGGATGTAGATATCATCAACACCAAGGTTTTTCCGTATGATCTTTGTAGCTCTCTTAGCCCACTGCCAGACGTAGCTATCTCCAGTGATCCAGACAGTGGCTGGATGGGAAAAAAAACACTGTAGTAGTGAGGACTGTATCATATTGTAGGCTACTGAGAAAAATAACAAAAGAAATATCATGTATCAGATGAGCTCCATGCAGTTATCTGAAAATACAGTATTCCTTCAGTTCAGAAGTAAAAACAAAAGTCTGCTGTATAGTTTTACACTAAACAGCGCTAGAAAAGTAACTAATACTCACTTATACAGCTTTGTGTGGATGAATATGAAGTGATGCTGCACTCAGTATTGTTACCTTTATCAAATCAAAAGAGAAAGAAAGAATCATTCCAACAGATGTTTTTGATAACTGTCATCAACACTGAAATGAGCAGGATCTGCATGCAAAAAATAGCCTACAAACACTGACCTTAACCAAAGAACTTTAAAATTAACACACACTCACTAAACATCGATGTAAAGGGTCTGATCTGGTCAGTAGCCCTGCAGGAAAGAGGAAGACTGTGTGAGAGAGCACAACTTTTCTACTGTGTGCCTGGTGACGTTACAGAGTCACTTGACACTGTACATGTACTGTCCAATCAAGTTTGGAGACTAGTCTCTCACTGAGGTCTGAGGTGGCATCCTGTGGAGATGGGTGTCAAATAACAGTTCTTTGTTGAAGCATACACCCCATTTCTGCCCAAAAGTATTTAAGGACACCTGATGCATTCGCTTTCTCTTTCACAGATTTCTCACACAGGTTTACCTCATTGTAAAAGTAAGACAAACACTCGGTTTCATTGTATCAAATAATCAACTCACCATGGATCCAGAACTGCAGATCAATCCTTCTGATCAAGACAAAATACACCCGAAAGCAATTATCCTTGAGTCATTCTATTCCCACAGCAGTCAGACTACAGACATACTTCCAGGCAGAGCCGCAAGCGTTCCGCAGCTCCCATACCTAGGCCTCGCCAGTTCCTCTATTCCATCTGCCCTACAAAATCTCAGTCGATCCTCTCCTCCATCCACGAGGGCCAAGAATTGTGGT